GTATATAAAAAGTATTATTTCATTTCAACTTAATTTGCTTTTGAATAAACAATCATGTTTTAGTCAATTTGTTTAAATTTACTTTTTACGCAATTTGTCCTGTTATTGACATTGTGAATAATGTAGTGTGACGTCGGTGCATAAAATATTATATTATCGGTTTCTTGTTGAATATAAATAAAATTCATAACTGAGATAAATAAAAAATTTTAAGTTAGTTTATTAACTAATGAATTCACAAGTAAACTTTGCGCGTATTGAACTGGAACATGGAGGGAAAAGTTTATTATTTTATATTGACTCAATAATTAAACTAGACCATGTAATTGTTGGGCTCGGTTATGAACGTCGAAATTTTGCAAGTCACGATCTCGTCTATTCGTATGCATTTTTCTACGACCTCACGATCCTCTTCTTATTATCCTTCAACAAAATTCTTTGAGATATCCAACTCAGATAAGTCGCTCGATCTCGTCTTTTAACTCCATGCAACTGTTGGTCGAATGACATTAATCCCTGTGATATCTGCAATATGGATCACTTCGTGAAAGCACATATCATCTCTTCTTCGGTACAGGGTTAGGTAGGGAGAGAATTTATGTGTCTCCCTGCTTTTTGAGGTCGTTAAACACCTCCTTTTGGATCAAAGATAAGAGCACATGCTTCATGTATTCATACTGTTCCATGCCACATTCTTCCGACCTTGATTCTTTGTTGGGAGACCTCTTCTCGCCTGAGCAAGGCTTCTCCTCCACTCATTTGGCCTTGGGCTTATCATTCTCTACAAAGTCAGCCTTGGCCTCTTCCATGTTAATGTACTTTTTGCACCTAGCCAGCAACTTGTCGAAGGACCTCACCGACCTATGTGCTAAAGAGTTTCTATATGGTCGTAGCCTAATACCTCTAGTCAGACCACCTACCTTGATATCCTCAGAACCTGAGGGGACCTCCACACACTTTTTGGTATCATGAGCTACGTACTCGCAGAGAGTCTCTCTCTACCACATATTGATCAGTGCTAGGTTAGGTCTTTTCGTGCTTCCTCGCACTTGAGAATTGATTCTTAATTTTTGAAAGTTGAATTTTTAAAAGTGTATACTAACCCGACCGCCAACTCGTGGAACCCATTCTACGTCGACCCCTTCAGTGTGGTGAGAAAAACCCACTCGTGGAACCCGTTCTACGCAGACCCCTTCAGTGTGGTGAGAAAAACCCTACAACAAACTGCATCGTTGTACCTATACAGGACCATTATGTGCTCGAATGACCCTAAAATCTAGTTGGATCCGTCGAACCATCATAGGATAAATTCCACTCACAAATATTGTTAGGCAAATCTGCCTCCAAAACCTCTCCAGCCAACGGTTGACCATGTATCTGAGGTGTTACCCTTCATTCGACCGGTTGGCATCTTAGCGATGCGGGCAAGCCTTGTTCTCCTTCTTCCCATTCGAACCGATTTTGTTTCAGACAATCGGTATCTGAGGTGTTACCCTTCATTCGACCTGGTCAACTCCCACATTTGGGCTACCAAACTCTCGAGCATGGCATCTTGATCTAGTCAGGATATGGTAGTAGGCGAGGGTGTCAACCTCTCCTCTACCTCTTGCGGTCTTCTCTGAGGCTGCGGTGGTGGCCCAACAAGATTTGGCTGAATGGGTGCCCGAGCTCGAGCTACTGCCTCAGCTACGATTCTGTTCAGCTCTGCCCTTGTTAGTTGGATAACCTGATCTCCCCTGGGGGCTTTCTTTTCCCGAGGCTTTAACAATCTTCCCTTTACTTATTCTTGAGGTCGGTTGACCTCTAGATTCTCCCGCTGCACCTGTATACGCTGAGCCACTACTGCTCCTACATCTCCTGAACCCCTTGTCTCCTTTTGGACGACTACAGGCTCCTGCCTCGCTATAGGTCCCCCTGACGTGTTTGACACAGGGGTCAACATTGTATGGGGTGCTGACAACGTCTCCTAGGACGTGATAAGTGGGCCAGTTGACCTTGACCAACCTGGTGGGGGGCCTGTTCCTATCACCCACAATGTCCAAGCCTCTTCCAACTCCTTAGTTAGATTTTCTTAGAGTTTTCACCTACATGACCTTCAAACCTTCGAATTCTTAAAAAATCTTCATGTGAAAAACTGATTAGTTCTCCATAGCCCGTAAAAGACTAAGTGTTCCCGCGGATGGCGCCAATTTGATGTAAATTGTTTCGAATCAAATTGAGTCGAGAGGAAAAACACTGATACGTTATGTGTATATGTGAGATATGTAAAACAAAAACCTGGTTACCCAAGGTACCATGATGCGCAAGAGAGCTCTAGTTAGGAAAGATATCCTTCCATACCCACTTTCCTAATTTAGCATGATACACTTTCGATTTAAAAAAAAAAAAAAAAAAAAAAAAAAAAAAAAAAAAAAAAAATTCGTGTCCTCTCCTTACCACACAACTTTTAGGTCTTGAAGTCGTAACCACAACCATCCTACATAAATATCTTGAATTGTTTCTACGTCGTAACTGCAACCTCTCCTTCTACGATCTACGGAACATGATGGCCCCTTGAGCATCCGAGCTCCTGAAGTTCTCCGACCCCTTAGCTCTCTGACCAAGTCAACTTGTACCTTGAGCTACCTAAACGAACTCTTTGACGAGATTGTGTGTTGAGAACAAATTTATCTCTTTAAAACTGACCACACTTGAGGTAACCACTCAAGCTGGTTCCTCGAACTATTCTGGTTGCTATATCATATATTTCAATAAAATTCAATGAATATTTTATTCAACGGTGGATGTAAAAATCGGTCGTATTTATAATTGATTAAATTGTAGTTTAATCCATCACACGTTTTTCTTTTATTGCTATGTTCTTATTAAGTTGGGGGATGTGCCCTATTTTTAAATTAGTTCCGTCTATTACTTTTTTTCTTTCCTTTTTTTTTTTTGTGATAAGTAGAGAAGGTTTTATTTAATTACGAAATCATGAGTTCATGACCATCCATTGCTCTTTCATGTTAGGTCAACATCATTGGTAAAAAACAAAAACAAGGTTGAAACTTTGGAACTTATTATGTTTGCTATTTTCTAGTGGAAACGATTTTGATAACGTTTTTGCAAGTAATTGGAAACAAGTAATGAAATTACATTTCTGTAAGGAAGTTTTATTGTGGAAAGGACATTCGCATGTTGATTTGCACTGTGAGTGTATATTTTGTCAATTTGGGTAAAAATATCTAAAATTATCAATGTTCTAAAAATCGCTAGAGGATGCTTGGATACAAAATTCTCAAACAAATCCAAACAATTCTTTTTAGGCCATGACTTGAAGTTCATCTCCTAGAGTGTCTAGGCGGAGACTCGTAGACGGCGCCTACGCGGTCATAAAAATATTTAAAAAATTATTTATATTTATCACTATAAATGAATTATAAGATATATTATATAAAACATATTAATTAATGTAGTCGAACAAAAAGATTACACAAATTCTAATAGATTCATATTTATTGTAATAACTTTAATACGATTATTGATTTTTTATTATATATTTAATATAAATTTTATGCATAAAATTAAGTTTGTTGTATTTTTTCTTATATATATATATATATAGGGTCGCCTAGGCGCAGTTAGGACCGCTTAAGAGCTCATTTAGGCCGCCTAACCAGCCTAGGCATAAGTAACTTCGCAACCGCCTAATCGGCTTATGGCTGCCTAGTCCGCCCGCATGCCATCTAATCGTCCAAGTGCCTAGAATAGCCAGGCTGCAAAAGTTGAGGCGTTTGGGTGCCGTTGTTGTAGCAAATTGTGTTTTATTACCAAGTACGAAATGCATCCCGACCTCGGGTCGATCTCTCGATGAAAGCAGTTCGAAATCTAGGCTTGATATCGATTATACACGAAACAAAAATAAGTCCTAAATATTCTAATCACGACTGATTTGGTGAATTTACTAAAAATAACTAGAACTAGTAAAGCAAATAAATTACGACTAGAGAAAAAAAAGAAGTTCTAGGGGTCGAAAAATCTCAGCAAGTTCTAAACTATGTTGAACGCTTGTTCGATTACATGATTTAGCAAGCCTACACGTCTAGAGGTTTATGCACAATAACTTTCCGTAACAAGAGGACCCACACAGACGACAAAATCATTCAATCAAATAACACATAGTCAATACTTTTACGATTAAATCTACCCTATGCACGTCATGATCGAACAACCTATCCCCCTTCGATTTTTAGACTATTTAAGTGAAGTAGACGGTGATCAATCACCTCATTCTATTATTCAATCTACGTGCACAAGTTGAACAATTCGCATTCAACATAATTCGAGATAAGAATCGAAAACCTTAGCCCTAGGAATTGAATTATCTCATATTTAGATCGAACTTCATGTTAATCGAATCAAAGAACATAAATCCAATCAACAATAATAATAGAAAAACGAAAACATACAACGGGGTTAGGAATAGCAAGAATTCGACCCCAATCAATGAAGCTCCATTGTGAAAATGTCAATGTCGACTCAAAGTTGGCAAAATCAAAATCATGACTAGTTGTCTCCTCGTCTACAACTCAAAATAATTCCTCGATAATATCGACATAGATATATTTCGGAGATAATCATCGCTAAACAATGTGCCCAATCTCAATTTGAGCCTAAAAAACGTGGTCAATTGGTAAAGCGGACGGTCAAACTGAACACTAATATTATGAATTTTTGAATAGTTAGACAATATATCGTGAGAGAATCAAAATTATGTTACCGTGGTGGCAACACGAAAGACGAGATCCCTACTGTTCCTCTACTGCTCTGCACATTTGCAAATGCTTCCAAATCCAAGCCGACGTGGCACTGTCTTCACACCCACCGCCTTTCACAATCTCATTAAATGCCTCCTCCACTACCCTCACCCACGCATATAAACAACACACACTCACATTTTCTCTTGTCGCACCCAAATACGACGTCGTACGCAGTTGTCACTGTCACTGTCCAGGTGGAAAATGGAAGGGGATAGCACCGGACCCGCGGCCGTCTCCGGCGAGGGGGAGCACGAGGATGACGGAGAGGTGGCCCCGTGGCTCGTCGTCGACGACGAGACGGAGACGGAGCTTTCGGAGCTCCTGGACTCGTCGGAGACCGTGCAGCCGGTGAAGCTGAGGTTCGCCGACGACCCTTACTCAATGCCGGTGGTGGTCCAGTCCTCGTCGGCCTACGTCACGATCAACGGAAACGAGGAGTCCTGCGGCTCCTCGTTCTCCGATTCCTACTCGTCCGTCATGGCCAGCGTCGACGTCGGCGGCGGCGGCGGGATGAGGGGCGGCGCGTGGGAGTGTGGCTGCGGCGTGGCGCGTGGGTTGCGTACGGAGGGGAGCCTTGAGGAGGGTGACGTGGACCTGGACTTTGGGGGGTTGGGCGGGTTTTTGACGGACGGTGAAGATGCAATGTGGGCTGAGTTTCTTGACGAAGTGTTTAAATGAATGAAAAGGTTTAGGAAAAAGGGTAAGTAGCTAGGGTTTTGACTAATTGTAGTGGTTATTAGTGGTGGAACTAGATTTTGGGAAATGCTTCAGTCCCGTTACGGAATCATTCCGTCGAGATTTGTAACCGTTAGATCATCATATAACCGTCGTGGATAGTTGATCTAGAATTTAACGGTTAAAAATCTCAACGGAATGGTTCCGGACTTAGAATCTTCACTAGATTTTAGATGTGGGAGGGTTTTTTATGCATTAAAGAAGAACATATGGAAATAGACAACTTAATAGGGGGGTTTTTAGACTTTTGTAACTCATTTTGAGTAGCAGATTTTAAAGAAAGATGTGGTGTAGTTAAAAGGGTTCAACCTTCTTGTACCTAAAATCGTGGTGTAGTTGAAAGATTCAACTCTCTTGTACCAAAAAAGTCCATGGATGTGATCTTATGAAAGCACATTTATGAATACACTCGTAATATAACTGTAGATCGAATTCGCTCATAATAACCTTAGCTCAAGGTACGAATTTAGAAAGGAAAAGCATATACGCTTCCTCGTGATAAAATTAAAATACATCTATGAATACAAAAAACTCTGACTAATTTTTATTCCTGCAGACAGAAGGTACCCATACAACATCACAATATTAAAGTGTTCAATACTTGACCAATCTCCGGTCCTGCAAATAAAAGAGATACTCATAGGACAGCACAATTATAATGTTCAAGAAGCCTATCAGCTTCTCTAAGCCCGCTAAAGTAAGCGCCATGAGTAGTCGAATAATGTGTTCTGTCTGTGGCTTCACCTGCAAATAGAATTTGCAGTTTTTTAGTCGAATCGAGATTGTTCTTGTTTTCTGGCAATGGCTCTGCCAATACATCCATATCATCTAAACTCGACCCAACCGCCACATAGCTGTATGATCCCAAGAAGAGAGGATCCGAGCCCCATCGGCTTCTCAAAACATTCCCAAACCTCAAAATTCTCCCATCAGGGACCCTGCAAGATTTTCGACAGTTAGTCGGCATAATTAAGCCATTTGATTTTGCCGGCAACAATTTGGAGGTGGTTATCGAGAACCCTTTGGTTATCTCATCCTCGCCAAGGGATTCAAGCTCAAGGGCCTCTTTCCCCGCAAACCAGGACAGCAAAACTCTCGAATTCCTGTAAATTGGGTACAACAATGGAGTCTTCCTAATCCAATCAGGAATCTCAGGGTCCCTAAGCTTCGAATCCCGACTGTGAAAAACCATTTGCAAAAACGGTAACTCCAAGTCATTGTCTCCCAATTGATTGTTACAATCAACCACTTGCAGGAACACCTTGTTCACGAGCCCATACCCGAGCCTCGAAATTGCTTGGTTCTTGATATCAGGCAATGGCGGACTAAACAAGTCCTGACCTGGAATAATCCCACGCTTGAGAACCCCAAGAGAAACCGTAACTATCACATGATCGGCTGTAAGAACCGACCCATTGCTAAAATGCAGCTTAACTGGCCCACATTCACGACTATCTTCATCGCCAAGCTGCCATTCGATTTTATCCACCTTCATATTCAGTTGTATGGTCCCTGCAGGCAAAGCCCGTGCCAGGAACTCAATCACGCCCGAGTATCCACCAGCTATAGTAATCTCCTCCCCTGGCAGCATCCGGTAAACCCTCTCCGCGTTAAAATCAAGAGCCCCCAAATCGTCCGAGGCTGAATAACTCCTCTGCATATTCTCAAGCAAACGGAAAACCCCTTCTTCCAGAGATCTTCTACTCAAATCACCAGCAGTATCTTTCTGATCTTTCGTAATTTCCCAGTAAGCATCCAAACCGTCTCTAAGAAAAGAACCGACGCTATTATTTCCGGCGCCGGAGTATTTTCCGGCCAAGCGCTTCACAACTTCGGAGGTGACGCAGTCTTCATCGACGGCTTTTCCTCGAATGTAACTGATGAGATTTTGGAAAAGATTTGAAATCGGATCGACTAAAGAAGGATCGAGCTCGTGGGTACCTTCCGCTAGGGTTACGGGGTCTTGAGGCATCCCGTGCATCCACTCCCAAGGCTGGCCGCGGGAATGGAGCAAGTTGTTGTCTCGAGCGATTTTGTGGACCGGGCTGCCTTCGATGCCGTGGATCCAGGTGGCGCCGAGTTCGACTCGGTCGCCGCAGAACACGGAAGAGTTGACGCGGCCGCCGATTCGGGGTCCGCCCTCCACGACGACGAGGTCTAATAGATGCGAAGCGGCGGTTTGGAGCCTGTTGGCGGCGGCGAGGCCGGCCATCCCGGCGCCGATTATCGCCACTCTTGGCCTTTGGCTCGCCATTTTATTTTTTATTATATTATTTTTTGTTTCGGTGTCTTTTTGAAGTGGCCACTTGTAAATGGTCAGAAGAAGCGACGAGAGTAAGTATAAAGGTGGACAAAGGACGTAGCGACGGTGTGAACTGCTCGCTATGTCGTCTTTCAAAATTTGGATGAGTTCTAATTATAGAGCTTTAATTTTCAATTTTAGTACTACATTACATACATTAAGTACTACAATTAAAAAATTTGATGCAATTTAGGTCCTTCAACTCAGCAACAATAGAAAAAATTGAGATGGCAAATTAAGTTGTCATCTCAGATGGATTTGGAGGGAAAACGGACGGGCACGTATTAGTTAAAGGATTAAATAGAGAAAACAGACCACTATATTTGAAAAAATGAGATTTTTATCTCAAATTTATCTAAAATCTAAAATTATAGATGTTCTTGAGTTTAATCTATGGTAGTGAGAATCAAAATCAAATCGAAAAGTTATTGGGATTCCATCAATCTAAGCTACTGTATGTTATTCGAATTTTTTCAAAACCCTAATTGATATACGAGCAAATTACTTGTCAATCTAAGATGATTTGATGTCCCCTTGTCTATTTTTAGGGTTGTTTATTTCCAAATTAGTTGACCCCATGTGCTATTATGTCTTCTTGTCCGTTTTGAAAATGGTTCCCCACCTCTTTTTGTTATTATATTAGGTGAATTATTTATTGTCTAATTTATTTTTTTACATTCATTGATCAAAGTAGTGACCTAATCATTGTCATCTTGTGGTGTGGTGGTAAATTTCAGAAGTCAGACATTGGAGTGTATGAAGGTGGCCATAAAATAGTGTTTGATTTTGTACCTGCTAATGAAATGTCTGGAAAGAAACTAAAAATATTTTCCACAAAATTCGGTGTTGTTGGTGATAGGAGATATTTCATACAGGTGGGTTTGAGTCTGACGAGGATAGAAGGGGATGATAACATTAATATTTGGGCAAAGTCCCACTTATTTGAAAGGGAATTTACTGTATTTTGTGGATGTTTACAACACTTGTGAACCTTCTAGTTTGTCTATTGAAGGTAAGTGGGTGGATCTAGATGAGAGTGACAACATTGGGAGTGAGAGTGGGTCTGAGAGTGAGAGTGATAGTAATAGTAACAGTAAGCATGAGAGTGGGTCTAAGAGTGACAGTGAGGATAATGTTCTTGGTGTAGAGGGTGAATGATCTTATTGGGGTTGGTAGTGGGATTTAGAGTCATAATGATGTAGGTGAGGATAATATTGCTAGTGTAGAGAGTGTTACTCAAGAGGATAATCTTGTTGGGGTTGTTAGGGGGATTAGGAGTCATATAATGTAATGGGGATAATCTTGTGGTGTAGAGGGTGTTACTCAAGAGGATAATCATGTTGAGTTGACAATGGAAAAAGTGTTCATTTGAGTGATGCTTAGAATGCTGAGGGTTATGAGGATAGTGGGCATTCCGTTGATTGGTATGGTGAATTCTTTGATAGTAATTATGACATGAGGGATGCTAGTAGTGAGATGATGATGCATTATTCATTGAGCATGTAGATGCAGGTGCCAATGGAGAAGATGAGTCAAAGCCTAGTGATAGAGATAATAAAGATGTGGTCGCTAATCCTGGTGAGTTAGATGACTTAGTTGATACTGAAATTGAGTCAAAGCTAGATACCCTTGTCTTCAATCATGAACTTATATTTGATCATGTGTTTGAGTTGAGAATTGTTTTTGCAACTAAACAAGAGTTTAGAAATGCCATTTAATCACTTTCAATGAAAAAAAAATAGGACCTTAATAAAGACAATTAAAAATGATAAGATTCAGGTCTAGGTTAGATGTGATGATGGAGGTTGTAAGTAGAGATGTAATCTTTTACAAATGAGTCTAGTTACCAAATTAGAGAGTATAATTCCAAACATATCTGTCACGGGACCTTCAATGTGAAGAACATTAAGTCTAAGTGGCTGAGTGAGAAGTACATTAGCAACTTCCAAACTGACCCTAAGAGAAGTGTTAAGGGCTGGAGGCATAATGTAATTTACGAGCTTAATGTAAATAACTAAAAAACAGGCTTACAAGGCTAAGAGAAGGGTCATGAATGTTCTTAAGGGACATCATGTCGATCAATACTCACAGCTATAGGATTATGTAGAGGAGCTCAGATCTTCCAATCCTGGTTCAACAGTGGTATTAGAAACTGAAAGTGTGAGTGGTGACGAGAGAATTAATAAGTTTTATGTTTGTTTAGTGCTTTGAATGAGGGTTATAAAGATGGGTATAAACTACTGATAGGTGTAGATGGGTGTCATTTGAAGGGGCCACATGGTTAAATTTTGTTATTTGCGGTTGCAGTAGACCTTAACAACAATTTATTCCTTTTTCAATCAAAAGTTAAAAGAGAGTACTTAATTCAGCAATTATGCTGTACATTTATTCAGGCTAATTCAAAATTTTGAATTACCTTTTCATGCACTGCATAGTTCTCTAACTCTAAGAAGAAGAATTAACCAAAGCTCCAACTAAAGATCTTTACTTTCATGGGTGACAAAAAAAAAAAGGAATGAGGTTAGGGGACTATTATACTACAGAAAATTGGTTGGTTACTTGGACAAAAGAATAACCAAAGATATGATGAAACAATGAAGGTCATCTAGGAATGATAAGATCCAAAGGCAGACAGACCACTTTGCAGTCGCATCAATCCTCTCCCCGCTCAGCGAAAACCAAATGATCTCCGTCTCTCACAACCTCCAAACTCTCAATCTCAGCCCCATCGCCGCTCAGAACCTTCCACCGCAAAACCCCGCCGTACCTCCTCGCCCCCATTTCCAGAAGCTTCTCGAAGCTCTCCGGGAGCAGCACAAGCTTCCCGCCAAAATCCCCTTTATCGGGGCAGCTCATCCTCACCCTCAATCCCGGAGGAGGATGCAAACTGTTACGGGCAGCAGCCGATACGACCCCAAACAAAGAATTGTGGAAACTGCCCGTCGCCGCAGCCGCCGTCTCCCGGCGCCTGTGGCGGGACCCACCCCACGACTCGTCCCGACCGGCCGCCGGCGGCATTGCCGGCTCGCTCTTGCATCCCCCCAAGAACCCCACCCCACGGCTCTTTTCGGAGATTATTGCTGCAGCAGCCGCCGTCTTGGGCTCGACTCTTGTTCGCGTCTCGTGAGATTTGAAGAGCTGTTGAATGTTTTCCTGGCCTTGCTGGTCGGCTAGGTCCCGTGGGGTCCACCCGTCCCCGTCGGGCGTGTCGGGGTCGGCCCCACGGTCGAGGAGGAATTTGGTCGTCTCGTGGTTTCCCTCACAGACGGCGGCGTGGAGGGCCGTGCGGCGGTTGCGATTACTCGCCAGGGTCACGTCCTCACCGAGACGGACAATCTCATTTAGTGCATTCAGATTGTTTTGTTCGGCGGCCGTGCACGAGAATAGGCCGACGTCGCCTGATGCGAGTGTGGCGCCGTTTTCCGACAAGAGTTTGGCCGTCGTTTTGTGGCCGCTGAAGATGGCCTCCCACATCGGAACGCTCCCTTGTAAATCTGCATGATAAAAACGTGGTTTTGGAGACAAATTATTAATCACTAGCACAACAGAATAGTTTGATGGACTCTTCACTTGGGACCAGTAGGTCTCGAGTTCGAGTCAGGAAAAAGAAAAAATGGATGGACAAGAATGCAAATCAAATATTGGGAGAGATTTTTCGATTTTTACATCAGAATAGTTAGTTACCTCTGCTGTTAGGATTGGCTCCAAAATCGAGCAAAAGACGCACGCAGTTGTCGTTGCCTTGTGATGCTGCAATATGCTTTATACACAACAGACCAAACAGATAAAAATACTTCAGAGAGTGTTCTCTACATAAAGAAAAAGTATGCAATAAATGAGGTTCATATATATATGTATACTCACAAGAGCAGTCCTCCCATCATTATCCAACTCATTTGGATTCAAGCCTCGCTTAAGCAATTGATGCAAAAGCAAGTCATCTCCTCTGAGTGCTGCAAAAGATAGAGTGAGGGGTAGGTCCATTCTTCCCCGAGCAATCATGTTCTCTGTCTCTAACAAAACTCCTTCCATTATCGGGTCCTTTAATTCCTTCAAGTGCTGAGACAACGGCCAAAAGCAGGGGGGAAATCACAATTTATTCATTTTCAAAAAATGATTCACATTTACAACGAAAAAAACCGATAAAATCCAATTTGGCGTAACACTCCTGATGAAATACTAAATAATGGAAAACTTTATAAGATAATTGACTGTGACCATATAGTATATGTGCGAAACTGCGTGAAAAAGGACTTCACTAAACTTAGTGTTTATATATCGATGAAAATGAGCGTACCTGTAAGAGATTACTCATTATTATTGACCCGTCTCCAACATTGGCCTGAATAATATTCAGGAATGTTGTACGATTGAGTCGTAATAGCTGGGTCAACCTTTTCGTACGCACCGTGAACAATTGAGGCCTATAACAAAGTACACCAATCTCACCACAAAGTTCACCGTATTTGGCTTCCCCTACAACCTGCAATTATTGACTTCATTTATTAGTATATCCTATAATGTACAAATTTCCTACTTCTTAACAAGAAGAAAAAAAAAAAAATGTGACAAACTAGACTTGCCTGTTCAACCCCGTTTCTCAAAATCAATAGCTCCTGAAAGTTGAGAAAAATATGGAATAATAAGCTTTAAATCCATATCGCGAGCTAAAAAATGCAGCTAGTAAAAATATGAGTGCATTAACCACAAGATTATGAGAAGGTTCTCTAGTTTATTTTACTTACCACTGCCCCATTGGCAATTATATAAAAGTCCGTGGGGGCCTCATTCTGCAAGATCACATCTTCCTTCGGAGCGAAATATTCTGCCCTCATTTCGGACACCTATCATAAAGTATGATGTCAATGCAAAAGCCAAAAAATATTGAAAAGAAAAAGGAAAAAGAACCAAGTAAAGAAAGAGAGAAACAAATCAAATATAACAACAACAACAACAAAGGAAATAACCAAGTGGTAACACAAAATGGTTTACCAGTTGAAAGAGTAAATCATTGGACACTCCACGGAACAAGTAGGCGTTATCCATGAGAGGGTAGAAAAGGTAATTTGCAATGCTCGCCCGAATTGCTTTCGGGAGGGAGTCGAGCGTCTCCTGCTGCTGAAGCCCCTCAGAGTCCGTCCGGAATTTCAAGACCAGATGCGAAATCATCTGATCCTGAAGTCGAGCGGACAATTGGTTCCTCTGTGCAAAACCCGAAGCCGCTTGGATGGTATCCCTCTTATCATCCAAAAAAGAACATGACCAAATTTAATCCATTAGGAAAACCATACATATAGTAGAAGACAAAAAAAGCAAAGAATGAATGAAATTACTTACAAATCGCCTCGTCTTACTAGTCCCATGGACCACCAAATTCGTCATGTTTCCAATTATGTATGCCGTGAGCCCCAAGTTAAAGTGCATGTACAAAATGCAGAATAACATTTCCCTAATGTTTTGTGCATGCAAATCCCCATACCCAACAGTAGTCAAAGTCGTGATTGACCAGTATATTGACATCACGTAACGAGTCCACAGGCTCTGCCTAAGGTAATCGGGCATGCTTACTCCAATCCACGTATTTGAGGGGTTCGGGTAATGAGCTGCCAGCACATAATAAAAGCAACCGGCACAATGAACCGCGAACAAGGTAACCTACATGACACATGAGGGAGATCAATAACTCACATCCACAATTTTTTTTTTTTTTTTTTTTTTTGCGCTTTTTTTTTCCTTCAATTTGAGATTATTTAAACAAACTTTTGAATGATGTGGGCTTAGTCTTACACATATAAGCTTAGCGCACCGAACCCAAAAGTAGTTGAAGTTCCTATCCTTCTCCAGTCTGTCGTTATCAAAATAGTACGCCACAAAAATTAAAACAACTAAACAAAAGAAAAATATAAGAAAGAAAGAAAAAGCACATCTTTTTACCGAGAAAACAAGGCGCTGACTCGTCTGAGACGCCAGAGACGGAGCATGTTGAATAAGCCATAAAAACGGAAGGTGGAGATTTTACGAGCGAGTTCAGAAGGGATTATGGATATAATATCAAACGCCAGCCAAGAAGTCGTGTATTTCCAAGCAATCTTTTTCGGGTCGTCCACCAGAAGGTAAGTGCTCTTTTCCAAATAAGCCACAAAGAATGTTAAGATGATATCAATGGCGAAAAACCCATTAACCACGTTGTCCATGATCGACAGAGGTCCCTGAGGTTTTTCGAGAAACCCAAACTCGAATGGCGAAACCCAGGCCGTGTAGACAACTAGAATAACGAGAAAGGTCTCCCATGCTCTGACACAGTAATTAAGAATAATGTTTTAGTATTTTAAGACTGTCAACTTTGTGTACTGGAAAAAATTGGATACTTGCATTTATGTGCCAAGAAAGGTAGCACGTGCATGAATGGATATGAAAATAAGTTTCAGCCACAGTTGCATACAAAATTCTACTTGAGAACTCAAAGTTAGTTATTCCAATGTCTAATAGTAAAGAAAAAGTCTCTTTTGAGGAAAAACATTAAATTTAAAAAAAAAAAAAAATTCTTCAATGAGCCAAAAATGAAAAAAAAAAAATAATAATAATAATAATAAAATGATACGAACACGACGTGTATGAAAACTATATACCCGATGAATCCGAGTTATTACTAAAACAATTTAACAAACAAATCATAAATCATCTTTAAAACTCTATTTGAAAGTTAGTTGTACTGTACATCAACATGTCTGGTTCATATTCATTGTAATTATAGGTGATCTCCTAGAAGGAATAGTGTGAAAAAAAAAATGATAGGTGATCTCCTAGAAGGACACCAATCCACAGGGAATGTGTGGAAAGTCAAATTCAAAACAAATAATAATCAAGTCAACATATTATAACTCTTCCTTATTGACAGAATAAGAAAAACAAAAATAGTAAACTCAAAATCAAGGATTGCAATGGCAATGGCAATGGCAAAGTCAAAACAAGTCCACAAAAAAATTCAATTCAAAGCATTCAAATTTTACAGAGATACTAGCGCCTCGGCGGAGCTTAGGCGGCCACTAATCGGAGCTTAAAAATAAATATTATATACTTTATTTTTTATTTATTTTAACTAAAACAAACATAAGTCCAAATATTAATATTAATATATTTCAAAGAAAACATACAAATAAAATAATGTAATTAGTATTTAGACAAATTAAAAAAAAAAAAA